TAACGTTTGACTCCAATATTCGATTGACTTGATTTTTGCAATGAAAAGAAAACTTCAAGGGCTATAAAACTGTATTTCACAAAAATTTCGCGAATCGACCTCTAACAATGCTAGAAGTGAGTTCAAAATTTGGGCAGATATGGTACCCGCGTGCCCAAAAATTTGATGCATGAGATTTGACTAAAAAGAATTTTTTATTAAAAAAAAAATTGCTCCCAAATCAACCCTAAACCTCCTACGTATACCTAGTCTTTAGGATAATTAAAAGCTCTCACCTGTTGAGAAAAGATCCTATTCCCAGCCTTTTATTTTATTTTTCTTTGGAGATCTACCATGTTTTGTGAGTAATCTCTTTTGTACTTTTTACTTAGGGCATGGATCTAGAATTTTGAATTAAATATTTATAATCTATACAATTATTTTTCATATTCTTTAAAGTTATATTTTTTTGAAAATTATCGATTGATTGAATGATTGTTAGTAAAGTTTTATGTTCTATATAATTGTTTGATTAATCATTAATTTGATTGGGTTCTTGGAATGAATAATGCTTATGTTTCCCCGCGAGTTTCATAGAACTAGTTCTTCAATTCTTATTTTTGAATTTAGTGTATTTAAAGTTAAATCTTCCGGTTGACTACACGAACGTTGAAAATTAACTGAGATAAATTGTAATTGCATAAGCATAGATATTTGCCAAACATGAACAGATCTAGATAATAAATCCGTTTTAAAATTTCCTGTTTTTACAAACCAATTCCAAATCAATTTTTTATTTGTTCTTCCTTTCTTGTCTTTGATAATTTTATTTGATCCCTATGGTACGATTTCGAACTTTTGAGTATTTACTAATTCTTGATCACTTGTACTAGGGTGCACCAATTTGGTATCAACGAGCAGGAAAACCATGAGAAAAGAAAGGAAGATATATACATAGAGATAGATAGATAAATAGAGAGAGAGAGAGGAGAAAAAATGAGACTTTGGGGTCATAATATGTAGTTCTTAATACAGCGGTGAACAAATTTATCGGTATCCCTTAGTGATTTGAGGTATGAGATATTATACAATGTGCTCCTGTCTTTAAATTTCTTTGCAAATAGTATTTTTTTATCATTTGAAATTTATATTCCTATTGATTATTCTGATTGATATGAAATCCTGACACTTTTATTGAGTTGACTTGTATTTTGAACTAAATATTTTGTGATTGATTGGTACATGTACAAAGTATACTTGGAGTATAGTTGGTAAAATGTGAGTATGGCCCTACGGGGTGCGATTGATTGGTATTAGTATGGATTTATATGCCCAAGTATCACTTGTCATTTCACCCAAAAAAACTAAGTATGAGGCTACATTTGACAATAGTTGAGCTATGTTGTATGTCCAATTTGATTGATGATTTCGTTGTTCATGATTCCTATCAGCTGAATTATTTGGTATTTGATCAATCGTATTTTTATTGTTGAACACATTATTTTTTGTCATATTGTATACTTTCCCACTTTTGATATTTTTTAATATAATCTCAGAGTGAAGAATCAGAGTTGAGATATCAAAAAATTATTGATTTCTAGCATTTGATTTTATTATTGCAATATATTATTTGAGGAGGTCTATTTGTATATTTTCGAGGTTATTTTTATTTATTTTGCAGATAATTAGAGCTATGTCTCGTATATTTGAGAGATTTTGTGAAATTGTGCCCCCCCCCCCTCTCTGTCCTCCCACCTTTGAGCTCGTCCATTCGTAGGGTGATCCCTCTCACGTTCAAGTGTTTGCTCATTGTTTAGGCCGGTGAGTGATGTTCATTGTAGTCACTTCTGGGGTTCTTCGCACCTAGATAGTACCAGGACCCTAGGTATCATATCTTATATGGGGCCTATGGGAAGTGAATCTTTATTTTTTTTTTTATTTTGGGAGGAAGAAGAGGAAAATGGAGGAGAACTTGAACTTTTGATCTCAAGAAGGCAAAGTCTTTACAAAACAAGGAGTATCATTGGACCAAAGGCCCATTGGTAAGTGGGAAGTAAATCTCTATTAGCCTTCGTTGCAGATACAAAAGTTTGACATATTAAAGTATAGGTTTTAGATCTCATATGAGTACTTTGGGAAAAGAGCCTATCAGTTTTCATTGCAAAGATAAAAGTTTGAAGTATTAGAGCATAGGTTTTAGAACATATGTGTATTGTGAGGGGTGAATTAACTAGTTTCAGTTACACAGGTTTATAAGTTAAATTTGGTATCAGAATTTTGGGTAATATAATAAATAATTAAAAAATGGAATCAAAGTGCGCTACGGAATTAATTAATTTATAGAATGTGAATTTTGGGAACGAAATTTTTTTTGAGGATAAAGTGTGATAACCTGGTTATTAATTGGAGAGAGAGAGAGAGAGAGAGAGAGAGAGAGGAGAGGAGAGTGATTTATTCAAATGCTGTGTGTCAAGTGCCTTCTCGGGTCTCCCTGGGGAAAATATGCCTCCTATTCCACTCCAACCCCCCCCCCCCCCCCCCCCCCCCC